TGTTTGAAATTGTGAATTTTTGTAAGTTTGGGTCTTTATCCCATACTTTTGCCAAAACAAATCATGTGCCTTATAAATGGGTTTTCCTTTCCTTGTCAAATTGTATTATACTTTGAATTTGTTGGTTGGTGTTGTATTTATTTAGAGGCTGAATGGCTGAAGTCATCAAGCATTTTACATTGATGTTGGTCTTAATCATTATGTATGTTTGCTATCTCTCTTTAAACTAAAGAGGGCAATTTGGAAACTTTTTCTCTTTTTATTTTTATTTTTTTTTATTTTTTGAATAAGTTAAACCACAACATAAGCAATATATATCCAGAATAATTCGGACAACGAGGTGTAGAGGCCCGACTGTGATTCAAAATCTAAAAGATTATTATAGGAGTATAAGTAGAAAGATTAGTATTGTAAGCAACTTAAAGCTATTAAATAATGAAAATATTATAATTATAATATCACGTAAGATTGTAAATTTATACTATTATGTGACATTAAATAAAATATAACAAGATATTAAATAAGTGAATGTATATAATATTACATTTGAATTTTTGAATAAAAAAATAATTATATAATGACATATTATATTATAAATTTATAATATCACTTGATATTATAATTATAATATCACGTAAGATTGTAAATTTATAATATTATGTGATATTAAATGAAATATAACAAGATATTAAATAAGTGAATATATATAATATTATATGTTAATTTTTTAATGAAAAAATAATTATATAATGACATATTATATTTTAAACTTACAATACCACTTGATACTATAATTATAGTATTTTTTAATAAATAATTACAATTGCTATACCAATTTCAAGAGAGCAAAAATCCTAGCAAACGACACTTGCCACCTACTTTGTTCTACGTTTCAAACATATAGTTTTCTACAATGGGAAGCTAGTCTTATGATTAGGTTCCTGATGTCAACACCAATTCTTGAGATTAAAGATTTTGTAGAGACAGTTGTTATGAATTAATTATGATGAAACAGAGTGTTAAGCTAACGATTAGTCTTTTTTTACTTGTATAAAATGCAATTACAATGTGTTGTACAAGATTGTTGAGAAATGAATACCTTCTATCTTGAATTCTTCTATGGTTAAATATCAATTTTGGTCCCTCAACTTTAAAATTTTGTACGATTTTCGTTCATCAATTTTTTTGTACACTTTTTTGGTCATTCAACAATAAAAAACATATTTTTTAAGCTTTTTCATTAGTTAATTTATTAAATCTATCTAAATATGTACATTTTTATTCCCTCAACTTGTAATATATGCATATTTTTATTTGTCGAATTAAAAATTTAAGAACTAAAAATATACATATTTGGACAGATTTAATAAATTAATTGGCAAAATGACTAAAAAAATACATTTTTCATAGTTGAGAATAAAAAAAAAATGCATTAAAAAATTAAAAAAATAAAAACTATGCAAAACCCTAAAGTTATGGGATTAAAATTGACATTTAACCCACCACTTTTTCTCTCCCTCTAGTTCTTGCCATATCAATATCAACGTCTCTCAATTCTCCTAAGCAGTTTTTAATTTAAATGTTTTCTTATATTTTCCTGGTTTATTGAAAATATTTGATATTTAGCATATATAGTAGATACAAATTGTCCAAGAAGGCCACAAACTTTACGGCTTCATGTTTTATGATATATATTTATTTAATAAATCATCACAAACTGTTCGCGTGGCCTAATGGATAAGGCGCTCGCCTCCGGAGCGGGAGATTGTGGGTTCGAGTCCCACCGTGAACGCTGCTCACCGCTCGTTCCCTTGTATGCTTTTCGTTTTCTTTTGTACATTTTTTCTTCTCTATTCTTTATTTCTTTATTGTTTTTTCCCATTATATCTTTTTAATCTTTAGGCACAGGTTTTTAATCTGGGTCTAAAAGTGAACTTTTTCTAGTATTTTTTAGTTGTTTAATCTTTTAATTTTATGTATAAATTTTTTTAATTGTCATATATTTATTATATATAATTATTTAATTAAAATGTATAAAAAAATCAAATTATAACAATTATATATATATATATATATATCTAACTTGAGGGAGTACGTGCGTCTTTACCAGGTTG